CCCCGAGACACCCCACCAACACACACACACCCTAAATTCTGAATCACTGCACAAGTGACAGCCTTCCCAATCCAAGTACAGTATTGAAAAATTATGTACACTTAACAGACACTTAATACAGAATATATATCGGAATATATTTCTCCAGAAGATAGATATAGATATAGATATAGGTAGATAGATATAGATATATATATATAGACACACACACACACACACAAGCGAGAGGCTCATGTGCACAGCTATTTACTTTATGGATGCTGAGGCAGCGGAATCGATGTGTCTCTCGGGTCCGCTGAGGTGGTTCTGCAACTTAAGGATGATGTAGGGAGGGCCCAGGGTGGCAGTCGTTTGCGATGGGTCTTTGGCAAGATTTTATTTGGGGGGGCAAATTGCACAGCCATTGGATCAGTGAGCAAGCACTCTTGTGGTTGAGAGGATTTAGAGGGAAAGCTCAGGAGTCAGCCTCGCTGCTCTGTTTGGTGTCCCTAAAAGGAAAGAAAGAGAAAATTTACACTCAAGACTTGTGTGGGTCTATCAGAGTTCAAGACCGCATGTTGAACATTGCTTAGACATGACATTGGTGTCCTTGTTTTCAGTGGGGGGATAGAGAGGAAGAAATGAGTCTTGGACTTCCGTCTGCCTTATGCAACAGACTCTCCATTGGCTGCTGGTCTGACTTAACCCAGTTATTAGTACAATGCTCAATGCCAGATTTTCAGCAATTTATACCTACCTATGTATCTGTGATTCTTCTACTACTATGTTTTCCTACTAACCTACATTTCTTTTCTTTATTTTCTGTAGTCTGAAGAAGACAAGCAGCTACAGGATGAGCTGGAAATGCTTGTGGAGCGCTTGGGTGTAAGTTTGCTGTTCTTCTCCTGAAGCTTGTAGAAACTGAAAAGCAAAGTGTACTGTTTTCCCATTGCTTTTTCAAGTCCTGAAGCTATATTGGAGGGCTGGAAAGCCTGTGAGCCTCCAGATATTATTGGGCTCCAGTTCGATCCAACCGATGGAGAAGAATCACAGGAGTAATAATCTGTGAACATATGGAGGCCCACAGCCCTATTGCAGGACCCTTGCCATAGGAGAACAAGCTCCTGAGTCAGAGATCATAGTACATGGTGTTTTTGCTTGAGAATGACTGGATGCATATTGGGGGCTACAGTCTGCCCCAGCAACAGATTTGTCTCTTAGCAGTTCACAGATTCATCTATGCCAAATTCTAACTTGCATTTGTAACATTAGTGTTGCTTCAACTAGAATGGTCAATTAAACAAAAAGTTTTTATTGATTGGTTGGCTGCCTTTTATTTATAGTACTGCATTCAGATAAACTTAATTTATACCCTGGTTCCCCAAAGATAAGACCTAACCTGAAAATAAGCCCTAGTATGATTTTTCAGAATGCTCGTAATATAAGCCCTGCCCCCAAAATAAACCCCAGTTAAATGAAACCCCACCCTCCACCATTGTGCAACAATCAGAAGATGACATGACAATAAAATAAAACATCCCTTGGAAATAAGCCCTAATGAGTTTTTGGAGCAAATATTAATATACGCAAGACCCTGTCTTATTTTCAGGGAAACACAGTAGATACTTCTTTGAGCTAGTGAATGAAATAAAAATGGAAAGTCTGTCCGTGAAATGTTTTTTTTTGTGTGTGTGTGTGTTTCATTTCATAATGTGGTTGCATACCAGAACAGAAGTAGACTAAAAAAGAAATATGAATAGTCTTGTTAAATGTGAGCTCCAGAAATTGGTCCATATATTGTTAGATAATTTTCAGGATGATATGAAATGAAAACCTTTGTTTAAAGAAAGAAACAGGAAATATAGGGTCGAGTAGGAGCAATGAAAATATAAAAGCATAACACAAAATAAGCCCTAATGAGTTTTTGGAGCAAGTATTAATATACGCAAGACCCTGTCTTATTGTCAGGGATACTTCTTTGAGCTAGTGAGTGAAATAAAAATGGAAAGTCTGTCCGTTATATATATATATAAAAGCATAACAGAGTAAAAGAGCTAGTATGGTATAGAGATTAAAGTTTTGGGCTAGGACTGGAGCCCAGATTCAACTGCCTGAACAGTCATTTAGCTTGCTGTACTGTATCTTTAATTGTATTTTAATTGTTTAATCTTTTTACTGTATTTTAATTGTTGTACGCCTCCCAGAGACCTTTGGGTAGTGTGGGCGGCATAAAAGTTAAATAAATAAATATTACAGCCTAACTAACCAGTTGTTTATGACAAGGAAATCTTGCAGAGAGAAGAGCCTGTTTACACATGGGAGGCCTGGCTATTCTTGGACTGCATCTCCCAGCATTCCTCCTCATTGATGTTGTTGGCTAGGGCTCTTGGAAGTTGCAGTCCAGAAATATTTGCTGGTCTGCACTTTGCCCTGCCTCATGTGTATTGTGTCAAGGACCTCTGGAGGAGAAGCAAGAATAATGTTTGTTGTCGTGTCCAACTCTTTGTGACCCCACGGACCAGAGCATGCCAAGCCCTCCTGTCTTCCACTGCCTCCCAGAGTTGGGTCAAATTCATGTTGGCCGCTTTAGTGAACCTGTCCAACCATCTCATCCTCTGTCGTCCCCTTCTCCTCTTTCCTTCACACTTTCCCAACATCAGGGTCTTTTCCAGGGAGTCTTCTCTTCTCCTGAAATGGCCAAAGTTTTGGAGCCTCAGCTTCAGGATCTGTCCTTCCAGTGAGCACTCAGGGTTGATTCAACCCTGAGTGCAATAATAA